ACCCCCCCCCCCGCCTTTTTCGCGCGCCACCTCCCCCGTTCCGGCTGTGAGTCCCATAACCAGATGAATCTCTTCTCAAATCTACTGGTGATAAATGAGAATGAAGCGATTAGAGGATCGACTGGTTCTAAGCTTGAGGGTTTGGGGAAGGAGCAGGGCAAGAATAAGGCTTGGCCAGAGAACCCTCCAGGCCTGGACAGGGGAAACAGACACATTTCTGGCTGTCTGGTGCTGAGGCTGGGAGAGTCTCGGGAGTCTGCAGGAGTATGAACACCTCCCCAAGCTGGGTGCAGTCTTATTTCTGAGACAGGTTGGGGGAGGAGGAGGGAGCATGTGGGTCTGTGGCCGGAAGTGTGCATTTGTGAGTGTGAGCGAATTTGCGTGTGTGTGTGTGTGTGTGTGTGCGCGCGCGCGCGCGCGTTCTCATGCATAGGTGTGGGTCTGGTGCCCTTGTGTCTGGGGGCGCCTGGTGGGTGTGGGCATGGGCATGTATATGCGAGTGGACTTGAGGTCTGGCTCACACCCCAGAACGTCCCCATCTCATGGGCTTCGCCACCAAGAAACATTCCATTAAACTCGTGGGTCTGGGATTCCAGGTCCTTTAGCAACGCTTTTAATATACAGCACAATGGCCCAGCTGCCTCTTCTACCTCTGATGCCTCCCCATACTCTGCTGGTCAGCTAGTAACAGCTCACGTTTACAGACTGCGTCTTTGTGCCAGGCTCAGGTATAAGCCCTTTACATGTGTAAATTCATTTATTGCTCACACAATCCTATGAGAGAAGTACTAATTATCCCCATTTGACAGTTGAGAAAAGCAAGGCACAACTAGTAAGTGGAGGATCCAGTACATCCGGGTCGAGTCTACACTAGAAATCATTATCCTCTGTTGCTTCAATTTCTACTCATCCTCTAGGAACTTCTTCCTTCAGGGAGCCTTCTTAGATCAGGTGCTCACAGATTTCATCACTTTCCTGTTCCTGTCACCTGTTCACCCCATGATTAGGAGACCCCAAAGCATGGGTTTCCCCATGAAGCTTATAGGAAACAGAGGCTGGCAGACAGGTCACAGGCTGCCCCGAGGGGCATTCAATCTCCTTTGAGATAGCCACCACACAGCCCTGATAAGCCAGGCTGGGGAGCCTACCCACCACATTCTGAAGCCTCCTATGCCCCCCAATTTTTACACTCTTCCTCAGTTCCAAGTTCACTCCCTGCCTCCCTGTACCCCAAACTTTAATCCCAATCCCTCTGCCACACTTACCGGAGATGACCTATTTCTCTCCTAGGAGAGAAAAAGCTTTCCATGGAACTAGCCCTTTTTTCTCTCCCCAGAGGACCCAGCCGTGCGTTCCCTCCCCGCCAATCCCTTCCATGCCTTATCCTGTCCTTGGAGCCTGCTCAGGCTTCTCCTATGTGCCCTGCCCCTGTGGGTCTCTGGTTATCAGCCTCAATCTCAACCCTCCTTCTTCTTACTAAGCAGGACTCCTCAGGTAGCACCAGAAACCTAGTTACACTTCCTTGCTTCTAGTCCATTCTTCCTTGCTCCGCTTCCATTCTTCCATTCCATAATTTAAAATATGCACAGAGGGCCAGCCAGGTTTCCCCTCTCCTAGGCTCAGAGTGGCTTGTGCACTAGTCTTTGGGATGCAAGTCTCATCTGCCTGTTCAGGCAAGACCTGCTCAAGGGCAGAGGAGGTCTCCACCAGGCCTTGTGTGTTTTAATGCATATGAAGCATCTTCAGGTTCATTTCCTCATTCAGGCTTACAGTTGCCACAGGTGAAGAGACGGAGGTAGTCTAGAGAGTCTCTGGACCCTGCCTGCTCCACATACGAAGTACAGCAGTGGTGTCAGCAGCTCCAGCATAGCTGATGGGCAACAGCAGCCACTGGAGTCCTGCCTCAGTTTCATTTATTTATTTATTTAACAAGGTTTTTTCTTTCTTTCTTTCTTTTTTAACGTTTACTTATTTTTGAGAGAGAAAGAGTGCGAGTGGGAGAGGGGCAGAGAGAGGGAGACACAGAATCCGAAGCAGGCTCCAGGCTCTGAACTGTCAGCACAGAGCCCGACACGGGGCTCGAACTCACAAACTGTGAGATCGTGACCTGAGCTGAAGTTGGACGCGTAACTGACTGAGCCACCCAGGCGCCCAAGCAGCTTTATTTTTAAAAGCTTTTTTTAAAAGATGACTTTCAAATTTTAGATTGAATTTCCTTAAGGAAAAATTTGATTTTAATATATCTTTATTTTATTATTTTTGAGAGAGAGAGAGAGATGGACAGAGTGTGAGTGGGGGAGGGGCAGAGAGTGAGAGGGAGACACAGAATCAGAAACAGGCTCCATGTGCCAAGTTGTCAGCACAGAGCCCGATGCAGGGCTCGAACCCACAAACTGTGAGATAATGACCTGAGCCGAAGTCAGACACTTAACTGACTGAGCCACCCAGGTGCCCCAGAAAAATTTGATTTTTTAATGAATATTGTAAGTGTGTATCACAAAAGCACTATTTATAATAACTGTCATTAATGCAGTTTACTATATACCAAGTGGAGTTCTAAGTATTTTGCATATTATATATTCATTTAATCTTTGCAACAATCCTGTGAGGTGGTTACTACTATTGTCTCCATTTTAAGATGAGGAAACTGAGTCACAGAGAATGTAATTGACTTACCCCAAGGGTCACAGAGACAGAAAGCAATGGTGCCAACATCCAAATCCAGGGGTCTGGTTTCAGAGTCTGTGCTCTTAACTGCTGGCTATGCTCAGAAGAGCCTTCACACACTTAGGAAAGAGCCCCTTCTAAAAATTCACTGTCTTGTGCTCTGAGAGCTTGACGTTGTCTCCTTGTTAGAAATCTCCATGGTTAAAGTTGTTAACCTTAAAAATAAAACTGTCAGTTACTTTACCAGGAGAGATGGGTTTATTTGGAGATAGCAAAGAATTGCAATTCAGAATAAGCAAGCTTCAGCAAACCATAGGCAAGTCTGAGAACAAAGGAGAAGAATGCTCTTTTATAGAAGAAAGGGGGGGATTGGGAGGAGCTATTATAAACAAAAATTCATTGGAGTAACCTGGGAGTTTGAAGTGTAGAGGCCATCACCAGCTGAGTAATGACAGTCTCTCATTGGCTGGGCTGTTGCCAGGCAAAGAGAAAACCTTTCTTCCTCCAGCTTGGGTAGTAAAGTATAGGGTTCTTCCTGTCTGGAATGCAAGGTAGTGCCTTCCTGTTGGTTCTGCAATTGACTAGGAGTGATGGGGTGAGAGCTCCCCTTTCTGGCCTCCCAACTCCATTTAAGAAAAATTTTTAAATGTTTTTTTACTTTTGAGAGAGACACACAGAGCATGAGTGGAGGAGGATCAGAGAAAGGAGACACGGAATCTGAAGCAGGCTCCAGGCTGCTGTCAGCTCTGGGCTGTCAGCACAGAGTCCAGACTCAGGGCTCGAACCCATGAGTGACGAGATCATGACCTAAGCCGAAGTCTGAAGCTTAACTGACTGAGCCACCCAGGAGCACCCCCCAACTCCATTTCAAATGAGGTTTCCTTTTACTAGTTTTCAATTGTTTGAATTTAGCTATAGCTCTTTGCTAGAACAACATCTCTTAATAAGTGGAATTTGTTAAAACTGGTTCCATATTGTTTCTGTTTAAATGTCCAATGTCAAGGTGACAAGAATTATTAATACCTTGGGTCGCTGTTTCAGTGAAAAGTACACTTTGTGAGGTTTAAAAATATACATCTTTTTGGGGAGAAGTACAGGGAGACATTATATTTCTCTGAAATGTTTCAATTTATATAAGTAGAACATAATTTTTACTTCTGTGATTAAAAAATCATAAAATATGCCCTTATTTAATCAATCAAAAAATGCCTTCTGTGGGGGTACCTGGGTGGCTCAGTCCATTTAGCATCCAACTCTTGATTTTGGATCAAGTCATGATCTCAGGGTTATGAGATTGAGCCCCATGTCAGGCTGTGCTCTGGGCATGGAAACCTTGTTAAGATTCTCTCTCTCTCTCTCTCTCTCTCTCTCTCTCTCCCCCCCTCACCTCACACCACCCCTCCCACTGTGCATGCATGTGCTCTCTCTTAAAAAAAAAAAGACGCCTTCTGTGTTAGATAGCCTCTTCGTCCTAGTAATTACAGCCTTGTATAATATGCTCTCTTTGAGTAACTTGCTTTTAACCAATAGAATATGGCAACATTGAGGGGTTGTTCTTTCTGTGAGTAGGTTGCAGAAAATCATGACCTCTGTCTTGCTAGTATCCTATCACTTTCTTGGCTGCTGTCCTTTGATGAAGTGAGTTGTCATGTTGGGAGAACCCACATGGCAAGGAACTGAAAGTGACCTCCAGCCAATGGCCCTTGAGGAACTGAATGTTCCCAACAAATAAGACCACAGACCCCGGACTAACACCTTGCTTACAGCCTTGTGAGAGATTCCTGACCTACAGAAATCATGAGATAACAAATGAGTGTTGTTTTAAGTTCCTAAGTTTGAGGGTAATTGGTCATGCAGCAATAGATAACCTTTCTTTATACAAATAATGAATTTTTGATAAACTAATTAATAAGTCATCATACAAACCAATGTAAAATAAGTGTAGTCTAGATTGGCACAGCAAATATCTGAAGTCATATACATGTGTTATAACCACATATGTGTCAGAACCAGCTGAGGAGCCTAACTCAGTGTTTTGCAGTCAGGGCACCCTTCAGGGAAGTGGTGGCTCTAGGGCAGGGTTGAATAGGAGTGTGTGTGGGGGAGCATATGTATCCCTCACAATCGATGGCTACCCACCCCCCATCTTCAGGCTCAAAGGTGCCTCAGGATGAGAACAATCCCATACGGGGCTCTCAGGCCAAGTCTCCCCTGTCAGACTGAGAGGCCCTTGAGGAGAAATCTCTTGCCAGCCCCATCAGCCACAGCAGGCTGAATACCTCCTCCCCAGTGACTTCCCCCACATCTGTCCCCCAGCTTCCAGTCCAAAAGGGCACCTCAGACGCCATGGAAAAGAGGCCACCAGGCAATGGGTAGAATAGAAACACAAACTCAAGAAATGCATTTCTCTGCCCCAGTTTATTCACCACGGCTTGGTCCAGAGGCCAGGTTCATAGTCAACATGCAAGGGCTAGACACAAAAGCCCCCAGGACCATTGCTTCAGCCTCACTCCCTATACCTTTCACCCACCCACCCATCAGGGATAGAATTCTTTACAGATAGAGCACCCCCATTTTGCAGATAAGGAGAGTAAGCGTCATGCCACTGCTCACCCATCAGGATCTTGCATCCTCATGGCTCCAGAGGCAAAGCAGAGAGCTTGGCTACCTTAGTCCTTGGTTCTCCCCAAAATTCACCCACTCTCCTTTTCACAGAGCCTCTGCTCTAGCCTGTCAACCCCCATTTAAAGGGCCATGCAGTGATGGAAGGGGTTATGACCCAACATGCTAAGAGCTTCCAGAGGCTGGGCTGAGCTGACACTCACTGTCCCCCACACCCCACCCCACCCCCCACCCCACCCCACCCCCCCCACCCCCGCCAAAGGTTAATGTGGCTCCTCTGGGCCCAGACAGCCTGATTTCAGAAAAAACAGACCAACCTAATTTGACGTCCAGTGTTGCTAAAGCCAGAAAGGCACAGCGAGTAGAGGCACAGAGAGGAAACAGATTTTTTTTTTTTCCAACAGCCTTGGAATACCATGCCGATTCCTTGCAAGCTTATAAGCACACATTCGCTTTCATCAGAAGCTGAAATCAATATGGTCTGCAACAGCTCCTTTGCTGTGGAGAAGGGTGGTTTGTTTCAAACTGATATTTTAGAATTCCCACTCTCCTATTCTTCACAGGGTTCTGCCGTTATCATCTCCCTTATCATCTCCCCCGGCCCCATCTCCCATGTGCCCCAGGGCAGAGTTCAAGAGGGACAGTTCTTTATCTTCTTCTCTGATCCCATCCCCCATCCCTGCCACGTGTCAATCACCACCCCCAGCTTCCCTCCCTCATACTAATTTTCTACCAATTGCTCAAAAAGCCATGGCAGGCCAGAGCAGCCACCACACTTCCTACAGCAAATCCACCATCAGGGACAACAGCTTCAGCAGAGCAAAGTCTGGGAGGAGTGATGGGGAAGGAATAGGAGAGGTGGCCTGGGAAATCCCAGGAGAGTGGCCCAGCACAACCCTCAGATAAATGACGCTAGCCCTCTCTCCAGGGAACAACTGGACCCTGTGGAGAAAAAAAGGCTAGGATTGACAATGGGTAACACAGAGTGTGGATGCCCGACATACGCAACTGAATATGTATTTGCACACACCTGCTAGTGAGTCAGCCTGCAAATCCATGCTCCTAATACACCCTTCCCATGCCTGCACTTGCACACAAAGGCCTGCACACACAAGGGCTCACTCACAGACACCCACCACAAGCCTGCACACTCAAACTCATTCATATGCACACACACACACCTTTTGCATATATATCCTCACTCGTGCACATATATACACACTGTTGGACACCTGGTTCATGCATACATATACAAACATACTCCCTCTTACATACATGCTACACACACACATATGTACACACCCACACACAGACCTGCACATCAGTTAGCTCATGTGTACGCATGGCACACACAAGCTGATGCACAGGTGCTGATTCGCACACGCCTGGACCTGCCTACATGATAGCACGTACATACTCACGCTTATCTGCACTCATACCAGCAATAATCATGTACTTACTTGTGCGCAACCACACACATGCCTACAAATATATACATGTACCCCTGCACCCCTGTGGAGGCACACCCTTAGCCCTGATCCTGGGGCCTGGATGAGACCGCCCTCTGTTGGAGACAACGGATAAGCTCCTTTCGGTTGTCTAGGATGGTGTCGAAGCTCTCCTGCAGACGGGTCTGCTGGTCAACCAACTGGTGCTGCAGGCCCCGGATCCACTGCAGCAGGGCCAGGCGACGGTACATCACCAAGTGCACATGATGCTTCTCCTTTTCCTGCTCTTTGTAGCGCTCCTGAGCCTGCAGCTGCTGCACAGCCTGGGCCACTGAGGGCAGAAGGGGATCTGGAGGGCCTGGGCCTCGAGGGGTCCCACAGACAGGCTCAGGGCTGCTGCTGGGGCTGTCGGTGCTCAGGGAACTGCTGGCATAGCCGTTGTCCTCCAGAGGGGAGCAGACTGTGCTGGCGCCGCTCATCTTCTCCAGCTCAGCTCTGGCGATTTCTGCCCCCTCTGGTGGGCTGCGGACCTCCCCATCAGGGAGTCCAGGGGCCTGGAAGGCCTGGTTGTCAGAGGACAACTCAGAGGAGCCTCTCATCAGGCTGGGCTCCACCTGGCCTGGCATCCCATGCCAATTCTCATTGGCATCTTTGGCACTCGCCATGAAGTTGGAGTTGCTGTCTGGTTGGAGCTCAGGCTGACATACTCCAGGCGGGCCCCCCAGGAACTGGCCCCCCTCAGCTACCCCTGGCTGGATGGCAAACATCTGGTCTGCAAAGGAGAAGCAGAAGAATGAGTCAAAGCAGGACAGGGTGGGGTGCCTGAAGTCGTGGCAACCTAGCTGTGGGGGCAAGGCAGTGTGGAGGAGCTGGATGCTCCTTCTCAGTCCCTTTCCCTCTGGTAACACCTCCCTTTGTGGTATTCCTACTCCTTCTCTGTTGATTCGCAGTCTCCTGCATAGGATTTTCCCTCAGCCCTCCGAGGCAGGCTGTCTCCTTATTCTGTGCACGTCTTCCCAGATGAACTAATCTTCTGCTATAGCTTCAAGAACCATCAGGTGTTGGTGACTCTCAGATGTGTCTCCAGCCCAGATCCGACTGCTATCCAACTCTGCAACCATCCATAGGCCCCCCAAATTCTACATGTCCCAACCAGCTCTCCCTCTCCAGTGTCCTCAAAAAAATGGCCCACCCTGCATTCAGTCACTCTAGCCAGAAACCTGAGAGTATCCTGGTCTCCTTACTCTGCTTCCTTCCCCCATCTCATTGACCACAAAACGCTGACAATTCTTCCTCTTTTTTTTTAATTTTTAACGTTTATTTATTTTTGAGACAGAGAGAGACACAGCATGAATGGGGGAGGGTCAGAGAGAGAGGGAGAATCTGAAGGGAGAGACAGAATCTGAAACAGGCTCTGGGCTCTGAACTGTCAGCACAGAGCCCGACGCGGGGCTCGAACTCACGAACAGCGAGATCATGACCTGAGCCGAAGTCGGACGCTTAACCGACTGAATCACCCAGGCGCCCCCAATTCTTCCTCTTAAAAACCTGTGTATATATGCATATACGTCAACCCTCACTTGTACTTGGTTCAGGCCATTTCT